ATTTCTCTGTCATAGATAATTATGCATAAAAATAAAAAGTTAGAATAGGCATGGCATCAATCAACAGTCGATAGTTTAAAATGATATTTGCAAAATTTTAGAGCTATATTTAAGCGAAGAAAAACTGTAGAATATCTATGGTTAAGCATTCGAGACACATTATTTGCGAAATGGGCCATACCGAGGGAAATTAAAAAGGCCGCATTATGGGATGTAACTAGGATTAAAAAAGAAAAAGCGAGAAAGGCCATTTCTCATTTTCCTTTAACCTGTCGTACGCGCTAAAGCATAAATGCATATGTACAGGTAAAAGCCCAAGGAATGCGCAGGAATCAGCAAAGGCGTAAATCATCCGGGAAACCTGTACCTCATGTACTTCTCTCTCTCTCTCTCTCTATCTCTCTCTCTCTCTCTCTCTCTCTCTCTCTCTCTCTCTCTCTATCTTTCTGTTTCTCGCTTACTCGCCCTTCTGCTTCGCATAGCACGTGAATTTAATGCTTGCCTCGTCGTTTTCTTCAAGCAGACACACGTACATGCGCACTCGTACACACGCACGCGCATATTCACGCTGATCGAGCAGAGGCGTGTTCGCGTAATTATATGGTTGCGGGTGCGATCCGAGAAACATCATCCCAAACAGCGAGAGAAAGAGAGAGAAATACAAAGAACACAGCCCAGATCTCGTGAGAGACTTGGTAGAAGGACGACGGCTTTTTGAACCTATACCCGTCAGTTCTCTCTCTCTCTCTCTCTCTCTCTCTATCTCTATCTCTCACTCACTCTCACAATCTTATCTCTTTCATTTTATGCTTTTGTATTCCCTCCCTCCTGAAGGATTTCAGTATTTCGTTTCGTTAATTAGGTTTCTCTTGCTCTTTTCGATTTTTTACTTAGAAGTTTTAACTAATAAAGCATTTTAAGCGTTTTATTTCAAACTTTCTATGTACATCATTAAAATTGTATTATTTTCAAGATGTCTCAATGCTTCAATATATGTTTATTTCTCAATTATTTCTTCATAAGTATTTTAATGAAAAAACAAAAAAAAAAAACATTTTTTATCGCTTATATTAAAATATATTAAATTCTATAATATCCTTATAAACATACAATTTTTATATAATTTTTTCTTTCATTCATATCCTCACAGGATTTTTATAATTAATAATTCTATCTATTTTTAAATACTTTCAAAATCTTGAAATCCAATTCCGTGATAACTAAATTGTAGCAGCAACAAATTAGTCACAATGAAAAGTGCTAATGACTATATGTGTAATTATGCTCAAGAAATTTAATTACATACAAGTATAATATTATTATTTTTTATTCACAAAATTCATTACAGATAATAATTTCTTTTTCAAAGTATATTTAACTAATTAAAAAACAATTAACCTAAAATTAAAATAATTATAAGTAAGTAGATTTTAAATTGGGTCAAAGAAAGTCAATCAAATAAAACAATCTCACTTAATTTGCTGCTAAATATCATATATGATTTAGTACTTTAAAATCATACGTAACGAAATATAAAAATTACTATTATTATTGAACGATAAATCATTATCAGAAATAATCCAAGAATTTTTTAAATCATAATTAAAATTTCAAAACAGTAATGAGATAATATTGAAAAATCTATTTACTAAATAAATTGTAGGCAATACGACGATTTCAAAACGTCATAGGAATGTTAAATCAAAGCATATTTATCTAAGGAAATAGCATTAAATTTTTAGAGAATCGTATGAAAAGAATTATTACATTACGAAAGTAACTTACCACTGACGGCTTAGTCAAGGCGTCTGTCTCTCAGTCGGACATACGCAGTTGGATACTGAAACACGAACAGTTGGATGACTGAATGTCCATTTCATTTTTATTTAGATGTAAAAATCAAGCACGTCACGAAATTCGCTGCGTACAACTTTTTAAAGTATACTTTCCTGTGAAAATAAATATAATAATTACGATGATTTACTGATATATTTGCTGATAATAAGCTTTTAATCTATACTGTTGAATTACGCATGAATCGAGTGTGATTATATTTATAATAAAACGAAAAGCTTTCATAGGAATAAAATTAAATTCTTCAATTTTTATTCATTAAAATTTCTGTTTCAAATTCAAAGAACAATGCATTATTAATGCTTCAGCAATATTGTAATATAATATACATTTTTCAAGAAATTTTGATGAATCGTGTATGGACATATGACTAATTTAATGAAAAGTAATAGTGCGTCAATATATATATATATGGGCGTGTGTGTGTGTGTGTGTGTGTGTGTGTGTGTGTGTGTATGTATCGTTTACATATTTTTTTTCATTTTATTTATATCGTATTTTTAAGCATAAAAATATAATTTTATAGTAAATATCTATCCTATATTATATACTTAGAATGGTATGTTAAATGTTGCCTTTTTATCAAATGAAATTACATACATTTTTAAAAAATAATATCATAAACAATTATTTGTAAGAAAATTGTTGATTCGTTTAAAATAGTAAACTGCCACGATTGTTTCGATATTTTGATCATTTCTACCCTCACCCCTGCACCACTCAAAAAGAGCAGATTATTCCATCCGGATGCCATTACAGATGGATCTGATAGTAAAGGTAATTTATGCAATACTTTCCTTCCCACGTGCAGTAAAATGAAATTTTCATAAATGAATTGTAGCGTATTTGTGTACGGAAAAAAATTAAGCAGATCAAAAAGCATGTATAATACAAATTTCCCATCTTACATTAATATTTTTAATCTAGATAGATTGCACAAATTTTACTTTAAGTGAACTTTGACCGATGAATATTCTTAAAGATACAAAGCTTTGGATTTTTCCATGTACAATGTATGATCGAATAATGTCAAAAACTGAAGAAATTATGCGAGATCATACGTGCACGCCAAGTTCGTAAATTAACACTAATGGAAGATAACAAAAAAGAATGACTCAACAATTTTTCAAAATCCTATTAACTTTCTTAAAACAATTTTCGAGTAGATAATAAGATATGTATATATATATATATATATATATCGGATTATTATTAAGTAGTACTAATAATAATAATAATAAACGGATTTTTACTTCATCTAAATCGTCCCGTTTAATCTTTCGATTATTTTTCAAGTTTTTCCTCTCTTTACCAGAAGCTTTGCTCTCGAGTATTTAGTTTTTAATAATTATATTTACTCAATAAATTTGATGTATATATAATCATTCATTGTATTAATAAATATACGTATAATCATCATATATCATCCTTCTCCCTTACATTATTTCAAATGTACAGTAGTTTACTAATGTTCCCCGCTACACATAATAAATAACAAAATTTCATTCGATCTTACGTAATAACGATATTATTTTGCAATATAAATAAAATTAATTTTTAGGTAAAAATAATTGATAGAAAAAAATGTTAGATTGCAAAATAACAGTCGAAAATCTAAAGTCCATTCATACTTATATAATGCTAGATGATTATTTGAAGTTTACCAAGCCGAATGCGTAAATCACAATAGGAAAGTACACAAGTGAAAACAGATTGAATCACGACTCGGATGAATCACCTTTCTGCTCGATTCTCATTCCCATTGGCGTCAATATTTACAACATCCGCAATACGATTTGATCGCAATAGGAGAAAAATTGTAGAAATCCTATCGGCCTCACTTTATCGCGAGATTACGGTAAAAACGCGGGATGGAGAAAAGTGCTTAACAGGGCGCTGAGTTATGTCGGTTCATATATTAATATAAAGGACCACTAATTTGCGGCCGATAATTACGTGAGCGCCCTTGACTAATAGGTAACGACAGTCGATCGTTTTTCATTGGGAGCAGGTGCCATGTGTGCACGTTACGCGCGACCGCACTATCTACACTCCCTCCCACTTACTTAAATCTTGATGGCCGTTATTAAAGTGTGCCACTTGAGTAAAAACCATCTCGCTCGTTTATTGTGATGTACCATAAAAATGAAAAATTCATTGAGTCCCGAATTGAGCGGTTGCTCACATTTTTTGCTGTATTTGTCCTATCGATTTTTCGCCCGACGACTTGTTCGTTTAATTAATAGGTTAGGGTATCTGTAAAGTAAAAAAGACCGAAGGGATTATGTTTTAGGCGAATTTTTAAGCGCATACGTCACTTCCAAATGTATTCTCAGACAAATAACGTTTGCTTCTTTTGTAACGAGAATGAACGAAAACGATAATGAAGGCCCATTTGAAGATTTTAATCGACAATGAATGATTATTTACATTATTTACAGTGTGCACGAACATTACAATATGTGCGTACAATTAACGGATAGCGATTTAGCTCTTAGCAGTAGCACTCTACACTCAGCAATGGCTGCAATATAAACAAACAACAAATACGTTTTCCAAAGGAGAAGAGTAATAAGAATTACCGTTGTTAAAATGACTGGCTAAAGAGTAATGCACAATTAGATGGCTTAAATGAATATTCGTAAAAATTAGTGTAAAGTGGATAAATTTGCAAAAATCTAGAAATAGTTAAACTATTACTTGAAACTAATTTCAATACCGATTGAATTGTCGATTAAACATGATTGATGATTATTAATACGTGCATTTATTATTTAATAAATGTATATATATATTACATGAAAATATCCATTAATAGATACAATGCTCCTACTATTACTATATTGTCAAATAAAAAAATCTCTTATAATTAAGTTTAAAAAGTAAAATATAATTTATTTTAATGATAAATGTAAATCATAGTTTAGAGTAATTTATCAGTTTTTACTTATAACTTAATTAACCATATTTCATTCTACTAATGATAAAATAATTTATAATTGCAATATTTTTTTACAGGACTATATTTACAAATACAATAAATTACTCAATCGATTTTGCTTTATTTTAACAAAATGAATTTTCTTTATAGCGTTAATGATAAAACGAATAAGTTTCTTACAGCAATATTCTGTTTCAGGAAGAAGAGATTCGTCATAAACATACATAGCACATAATGTTTATCAGATTCTGTAAGCAATCTTCCAACGGTATGTAAATTGTCATCATATTCACTTCATCATAAAATGAAATTAATAACCTATGCGCAAGCGCCCGTCTTTGTTTTCAAGAATACAACGTACTATATTTAAATATATCAAGCAACAATTCTATTGAAATCCACCGCTACAGTAAATCCGTAGATTTGCCGAACAATGAGTACCCGCTGTAAGCAGATATATCCAATGAATAGGTACACATCGTAGGTACAATTTTATTGAATGTAGGAAGTGCATTGAGAAGGGAAAAATTGCCTAAGAAAGTATATTATTAGTCTATCAATGTCTTGGATACGCGCATTCGCATCTACGTGTACCTTGTTTGACAGCATCATTCAAGTCAATCATTATGTTTGTTCGGAATATGTACATCCATACATGGTTTTTCTATTGATGCATTATTTTGTTTATATTGCCGGTACATACCGCTATTTTATTTAAGTACGGATCTTTTATCTCACAGATGCAGAGAATTTTTATTTGTCGCGATGAAAAACTACGTATAAAAAATCGTTTGCGCGAGGGAACTGAAAGAACAATAAGGCATTTGTGCACGAAAATGTAAGACGATAATGAGGCGTTAAAAGAAAAGAAAAAACATTATTAATACGACAGGTATTCAATTTTCCAAATAAAACGGTATCGATTAATTAATCGAATATAGAAATGAGCGATGTGTGTGTGGAATTAAATTTTAATAAATTTTACTGAAATCACATCTTACATCACACAACTTACGGCACATTTTACTGAAATTGTAGCTTTTATTATCATAATAATATTTACATTTGGGCTTACAATATCATTATTAATATTTGGTTACATTTATGTTATGGTTAAGCCAAATTTTCGCATTTAAACTTTCAAGGCTCTAATGAATGTTCGAAAAACTTTGGGCGACTTCATTCAATTACAAATGCACGAGTAATGTTGAAGTAATAATAAACTATCTTGCGATAGAATGATAAAGTGCTAACGAATTATTTAGAAAATATGCATTCGACCATTTTACTCAATTGCCTCGACGACCGAAGCTTCCGAATGGAAAAGCCTAGTTACTGCTTGCCCTCTCTTCCTCCGCATTGCAGTATCGGCGTCCAGCTTATAGAGTGACGAGGCACCGGAAAATTCCTACAAAGTAGTTGAATTTTAATTCGATAAATCATCGAGAGAGATTAGCGACACCGAGACGGTTTGTCTAGATTCGCTATCGCGGCACTATAAGAGAGCTTGCGAGTCTCGAATAGTAATCGCATAGTAATACACTCGCAAACAATGGTGAGTGATGGCGATAAATCTTGGCCACTCGCACGAATCTTTCTCATTTTTTTGTATTTTTATATATATATATATATATATATATATATATATTGCGGGGATATAAACGAGAAGGTCGCTCTGCACATTGTTTTAGCACCGTTTCCGACCTTTCGAACCCGTGATTTGACTGGCTACAATATTAACGGCGTCAATCGTATTTAACCATCGACTTCGCCACCTATTCTCGCGAAATTCCTATCTCCGCATTCACGGCAAAACGAGGTCCTTACGCATATTTTGCGCTTTACATTATTAAGGTCGATCAAATCAGAGATGAAATGGGAAAGGAATTAATTAGATGATTAAAGAATTTGTTGCTCTTATTGGTGGTCACGAGGTCATGTCATCATAAGGAACACGTACGAGTATCGATTATAAACATATGTCTCAAAATGTCAAAAAAGGAGAATTTCATACGGAAGCACGACTACTATTTTCATTACAACGATAAAACCAATTATTATAAACATTGTCGATTACTTATCATATTCTGTAGCGAAATATTTTGTTCGTGTATGGAGTATATATAGGGAGCGGCCAAATTCATCGATATTTCCATAAATATTAGATTCCTAAAAGTTAATAAATCTGTTTTTTAATTTGAACATTACTTATATGACTCTTACATTAAGAAAATACGGTAGCAATTATTTTAATAACAATTTATAAATGAAATGAAATTCAAGCATTATAATTTAGATTGACATGTAATATAGGTTTTAGCGCAACTAAGAAGAATAATTTCAGGATTTTAAATAATGGTTGAATTTAAATGAGATAAATAAATTCTCATTCTTCTTTCGACTACAAGCTCGCGATAGAATTAATCTAAGGTTACATAAATTCTTAAACAGCCAACAAATGTCTATAATTTTATGTTCATAAGTAATAATTGCATATGTTTCTCATAGTCAATCTTTTGCGAAATTTAATTTTAAATAAGATTGAAATGAAAACTTTCAATTTATACATTCATTTACATATTAACAATCTAAAAAAATTCGTAAGGAAGTTGTTTACCGCTAAGATAAGCAAAAAATATGAATAATTTAAGTTTAAAACTAAAGCTAAACTCGCGTTCAAGATTTTTATTATCGGCTTTACTTTAAATATCGTCTTTTAAATAATTGCAAAAGAAAAGGAAAGAAAAAATAATTCAATTTTAATGAAATTTATTTTCAAATATGTCTATAAAAGCAATTTTAATTTTAATAATATTCTTGTATATTATTTTTAAAGCTTAAAACTCATTTTATATCTTAACTTTATATATATTAGCTTTAGTAAAGTATCATCATAAGATCATTTGTAAGATTTATGAGACTATATTATTTAGTGTTTTTTTTTTTTTTTTTTTTTTTTTTTTTTGTTGAACTCATTAGTAATATTAATGCATTTTTTTTTTTAGTGAAATCGTGAAATTGTCGTTAACATTTATAGGCTGGAGTTATAATTCAGTGTCCGGGCTTCTACAATTTATAAAATTTAAAGAGAGATTACTGTGTAAAATAATAAATATTTACACGAAATCTTTATTGTATCCTTTTTTCATTAACATTTTTTCTGGTTCTTTTTATTGTTTTTTTTTTTTTTTTAAACTTGTTTCGTTATATTTACCTACACGAGCCTTTACGAGAGCGTGTAAATTTATAATAATTCACATAACAAGATGTTGATATTAAATTCTTTTTATTCAATATGACACGTACATCTGCGTATTCGTTTATAAAACAAGATACAATATGCGAAGAGCAATAAGAGAATGATGATTTTTTTTTTTGCTTTTGTTTTATTTTTAATACACTGACTCGTCACTTCTATTACTTGCGAATATTGTTCTTCAATCACCAATCTCTTACATATATTGTAGGAATTGTTGTAGCATGCAATTTACACAAACATACAAAATAGTATGGGAAGATGTTTTCGATTATCCCCGGGGCTTGCGCTACAATTTTAGATATTTCTTATATTTTTACCGACGCACGTATATTAAATATAACTGTTGAGATCACCGTTCCGCTATTTTATATGACTTTCTCCTTTTTGCGTATTCTCGGGCAATTTTCAATTTTCAGTGCAACAAGCCCCATAGTTTTCATAGCCTATAATCTATGTAATGGTTAATCGATAAATTTGTTGTTGTTGATCATCCAAATGAAATTGTTTCAATGAGTAGTATTACTTTCCTTCATTTGTAATTGCTCAAAATTCTCAAAATTATAAAGCGTATATTAAAAGTAATTCCAATGTACCCGAGGAGAGTAATTATAAATTATGAAATTGCTTATGAAGATTATTCGTGAACTTATTCGTTAACTCAATCCCTTTTTTTTTTTTTTTTTTTTTTTTTTTTTTTAGAATATTTAAAGTAGTTATGGAATTATAACTGAAGTCAGAGAAAAGAAAATAAGTGGGAAAGATATAGTAGGAACACTAAAACTCAGTTGATTAACTAACGCTCGCATATACTGATTTTGAAAAGTTTGACAAGATAGCTTGAACGTTATTTATTTTGCGCGCTTGAACTTTTCATCTTACAACTAAAGTGAAGCAATGAATACTCTAGATACTTCACTTTATACATTATAATATTAATGATAATTTAAAGTAGATGGTCATTATTAAAATGTATCTCTTGGTTCAGTATGAATTTGCGTTTTATTGGGATAATGAAAACTGGTTTACCAATGGTGCAATGAAGATTCTCTTTCCTGGTTAGGAGAAAAGCATTTACAAGCTACTGTGGGTAAAAATTATAAAATTCAAATGTGTCTGAACATTAAAGCATGATACATTATAAATAAGATATTGTAAGTTGGTGGGCAATTATTTTGCATTTACTAATTCTCGTTTTAATCTCTCGAAGATAATCGACTATAGCTAAGATAAGAAAATGAAAATTGTTCCTCTTCATTCGATTATCGCATACAATTTCAATATTTTCGTGGTAGATTTAGTTTTACCTATAAAAGAAAAATTAATTATAATTATCATAAGCTTTTTATAAGATAAGTCGGCATTGATATTAATAATTAAATAAATTATTCGTTTTAATTTCTTTCTATAAATTCAACATTATTATTTTAATTTTGGCAAATGTAATCCTAGCGAAATAAGTTTGCCGACTTTCGTACTACTTACACGATGATCAGAAGCATCTGCAAATATGCCAAAGTCTCTGCTACGAAACTGCATACCGTAAGAGAAACTTTGCAATTTTATCCCAATTATACTGTACTTTATGCTGCTTTTTTCTTCATCTTTTTTTTCTTTTTCTTTTTTTCTTTTTTTTTTCTCTTTTGCCATAAACATCTTTGTACATGATAAAATACATTATTCCTGGGTGTGCGTATAAAGCTAATTTTCAATAATGACGAAAATTACATAATTTAAGCAAAGACTCGATAGCTCTTGTTAACAGTGCACCGAAAGCATTTTAACGCTCATTAATACTTTAGTAGCCAATTTCAAATGCAATATCAAATATACAAAACTTATTGGAATTCGGGGCTAGTAAATTTTAATTCCGCTGGCCTACCATGAAATTATAGTTTTAAAACAATAAGAAACTGATTGAAACTGCAGCGACTGTAGAGAAACTGCGAACTTCAGCACCTGCAATTACTTTGACGGGCCCGGGCTCTTAAGCTCGAAAGTCTTTAAAAAAT